CGACAGGCATGATAAAAGACTTATTGGTCTGTAAGAGGACGGAATCGTGTGATCTTTTCCGGGCTTTGGTATCATTATAATTATTGACTTTTTTCCATTTTTTTTTGATAGTAGCCAAGACTTATGATCCCATTGAAGAGTTTACAGATGACCTCAATAGCACAGTTTGGAAGTTCAATTATCATTTTTGGAGTTATTTCGTCACCGCCGGGAGCCTTTTTCGGTTTTAGCCTCCGGATGACTTTGGTGATCTCATTCGGTCGAAACGATGGTATTGTGGATTCGCTTTCAGTTTGGATTTCCAGTAGAACGAAAGGACTTGCGGCGGGATTCGGTTGGAAAACGCCCCTGAGATGTGAGGCAAATGTTTCGGCTCTGTCTGTGTCGCTGCGCGCCCAGCCACCTGAAGAATTTCTTATCGGGGAGACGGTTTCAGCCGGAGAGCTTAGATTTGGGTGAGCCCTCCACAAAGGATGCTTTGCACTTGTTGGAGAGAGTTTCTCGATATATCTCAGTTGTGCGTTTTCGGCATCTTGCTTCAGAACCCGGTTTAGTTTGCGGGTGGCTTCATTTAGACGTTGCTTTGAGCATGGCGATCTGCTGGTTTGCCACACCCCTCGCAGACGCCTCTTTTCCAGAACGAGCTGTTCGATTTGTAGGTTGGTTTTGAACTTCTTTATTTGCACATCATGTCGTTGTGGTGTTGAGATCCTGGCTGCTGTGACGAGTTCCTCTTCCAGGGCGGCGGTAGAGCAGTCGATGTCCTCTTCGATGTTGAGCTGGATGTTAATTTCAATGTGGGAACTGACGTACTTCCTATATTTCATCCAGTCAGTTCTGTGCGACGTCAGCCTGTAGGTCTGGTCGGTAATTTCTGGGTTTTGAAGAAGGGTTATCAACAATGTGGTCTGATGAGAGATCCGGTAGGGCCGTGGCGCTTATTAGGTTGCGTGGGATGTTTTTTGTTACCGCAAAATCAATTAGATCTGGGATCTTTCTGGGATCTGCTGGCCAATATGTGGGGCTACCAGGAGAAACGTAGTCCAACTTATTTCTCACATTTATAAGTGCATTATAAAGTTTCCTTCCCTTGGGAGTAAGTAATGCGTATGCTTGGCGTTATAATCTCCAGCAGCTATGAAGCGATCCCCAAGTGAGTTGTAGAAATCCATGAATTGACCTTCAGAGATTGTAAAGCGAGGTGGGCAGTAGACAGCGGCGATGCAAAGGTTGTCGTTTCCTGACTGCACTTTTATGGATGTGGCTTGCAAGTAATTTGTTTCAAACCTTTGGTGAAAATGGTGTTTAATGCGTTCTCTAATTAAGATGTCGGTGCCGCCGTGGGCTTTACCATCGGGATGACCTGTGCGGTAGAAGGTATAACCCCGTATATGGAAGTTATATCTGCTTGTGAGGTGGGTTTCAACCAGCAGCATGGCGTCGATGTGGTTTACATTTAGGAATTGTGTTATTTCCAGTTTATGCCGTGAAATGTCGTTGGCATTCCACATGGATATTCGTAGATTAGTCATTGATTATTTGGTCTGTTGTGATACAAGCAGCTGCATCAACATATTCTGGTTCTGGACCAGCGTTTGCATGGTCGCTTTCATAAATGACATGAACTCCATCATACTTTGTTGCATGGTAAACATCATAGTTTCCAAATTGCTTTGTGGCTGGACTGGGATCTGTTGAGCGTTTTCTGAGTGTGGCTGGGGTGGATTTTCCATACCCGTTCGTAGTGCATCAGCGTAGGAGATGCCGTTGGTGGTACTGAGCGGACCGAAAGATGATCTGGCTGCCTTAGCGAAAAATACCTCTGGCGTAGTTTTTGATTTAAAATACACATTTTGTGTATTTTGTTGACGCGTAGCTGTCGCTTGTCGCATGCGACTCTTCAGCTCCTTGTAGACCAGACAGCCTCTGTAGTTTGCCGTATGGTTTCCTCCGCAGTTCCCACATTTTTTTTGTATGGGGATCTTCTTTGTTAGCAGGGCAGTGTGCGGAATTGTGGAAGTCTCCGCAGACTACACAAACTGACCGAAGTGTGCAGTATGTCCTGGTGTGCCCAAACTCCTGACAATTTGTGCATTGCACTGGTCCGTTCCGTTTGTGAGAACTGTAGCTTGTAGATCAGGTGCACTTCATTTTTCTTTAGGGTTTTGCCATCTGGCTCGAGCTCGACCTTAAAGAGTGGTTGCGGCTTTTTTTTTGTTAATAATATTGCTAACATTCTTAGCAGAGAATCCCTTGTCTTTAAGGGGCACAACATGACATTTCAAAAAAATCTTTTTTTTTTTCTTTCATATTTCGGTAGATTACACCTTTAAAAATAACATATTAAAATTTCAAATCGATATCTTAAATAGTTTTTGAGTTATAGCAATTTTAAGAGCAGCCGCTCGTATAGCAGTGAATACGATCATTTTATCTTTAAACGCGTTTTTCTCGAAACTGCATTTTCCGAATTTGCTGCAGTGATAACTCAAAAACTAATGATCCGATCACTATCAAATTTTTTTTAGATGTTGTATATATAGTCCTCCCTACAATGACCTATCGGTTTTTTGATCCGATCAAAAATCGAATTTTGGCAGGCCAAAAACGACCAAAATTTTGGGGTAAAATTCGATTTTTTTTTTTAAAACGCCGCCATTTTGTCAATTTTTGATATTTTTTATTTATCGTAGGTCATTGTATGGACAATATCATCTAGTTTAACGAGAATTTTTCATTTTTTGATTTCATCCACGGAGAAGGCCGGAATCACTGCAGCAGTTGGGGCATTTTTTTTTTTAGCGCCGTTGGAGATCGGCTCTAGCTTAAAAAATATTTAATTTTTTTCTTTAAAAATTTTACTGTATATTCTTCAAACATGTATAAATATATTCTGAAAATTTGAAAAGAATTGATCAAGTAGATTTTTTTATAAAAATTCCCAAAAATCACCATTTTTTTAGGCCGTCACACTAGTTGTGCCCCTTAAGGGCTTCTAGTATCTCAGAGGGGGCGACGTCGGGTTCGATTCCTTTTAGTACTACCTGCAGCCAGGTATTTGGAAACAGCTCGGAAGTGTTCTTCATATTTCGTCTGAACTTTAGTTTCGTGGATGTTCCCTTTAATAAGCGGAACAACATGAAAATTTTCGTCCCCGACCAGCGCAACAATTTTGTTGACCAGGGCGTTTGAGCTTTTTTCCCTAATATAAATAGGTGGGGGCTTTGGTTTCTTTTGGGTCACTTGCTCCGGCTCAGCTTGGATCTCACCATCTGCTAAGAGGGAAAATCTGTTGCTATTGTTGAAAATCATGGTTTTATCTTTGATTTGGATTGTACGGTTGATCTTTGGTTTGTTACCAACCGTGTTTTTCGGACTAAGCTTACGCTTAATCTGGATGTGGCGATCCATACCGGTCTGTATGGCCGGAACCGCTTGTTGCTTATCGTAGCTTACGGTTTTTGTTGCCGTTGCAGTTGGCGATGGAGCCGTTGACACCGTTTTCGCAATATTGGTCGTTGCTTTAGTTGTTGTCTTTACTTTTGCTGAGGTAGCAGAAATTGAAGCACTGCTTGTTGTTGGTGCGTCTCCCGGTGGTGGTGTGGTCTGGCATTGATAACTCCAAGATGTAGGAGTTGGAATGAGTAGGGCTGGTGATAGAGAGCGAGCTCTCGAGCTTTCGACGGCCAGTAGGGCCGGGTTGCTCTTTGTAGACGTTTTCTCTACTTCGGTATCGCGGGTTGAGAAATAAGCATAACAAGCGTTTCTTTGGTTAACGGAGCTTCTACGCTCATTATTTTGCTCGCCGCTCATTTATTTGAGCTAATCGCGCGTGGCAATATTTGTGAAAAACTGTATTATATCACTTATATAAGTAATTAGATACAGGCAACATGAGCAGGAGCACCCACGCGAACCCTGAGCGTCTTTTCGCGAGATAAATTTGGATATTTTCGAAGTATTTTTAGTTACTCGGCGGAGCGATATAAAAACACCTCTGTTGTCATTGACAGTTGAATTTAATATCAATCTTCCTTCACTCCAATGGCGCATGGGCAGAGTTGAGAGCATCGTTCTTGGACCAGATGGCGTGGCCCGTGTTGCAGTTATTCGAACCGCTGCAGGCATCATCAGAAGAGCTGTTGGCAAGTTGGCCGTTCTGCCCTTTGAGACCACCTCGTCTGTCAGCGTGACTCTTCCAGCGGGGGGAGCCTGTTCGGAGCAGAACCCCTAACTTGTAAATTCTATTCAAAATTCAAAGTCTAACTGCTAAGGTAACGTAACGTAACGTAAGCGTAAAGTTGTTTACCAACACCCGTCTAATTGCAATCGCACCTAAATTTGCTTATCTATTTTCTCTAAACTCTAAACTTACATACATTCAACTTTCGTTCGTTCTCGCTTCACCCTCGGAAGCACACGTTTCGCCAAATTGTCGGTGGCGATCGTGTATACACAAATTACATAAACTTTGTACATAAACTTAAACCACATAATACTCAGAAACCCAAATACAAAAATCACATCTCATTTAAATCACAAAACATTGGCCTTATTATTGTTGAGCTGTGAAATATGCAAAAACGTGCGTTTTTGGGACATTTGAGTGTGCGTAAAAGCTGATTGGCTATTGATATTAACAAATCCACAAACTTATATTTTTATTTTGATTAGTAGAAGTGAAAAATAAGAAAAAATCAACTTAAACTTTTATTTGTCGCACAGTGTTATTGATCATAAATGGGCTTATTTAAAATATTTTTAAAAAAATTTTATTTTTATTGCTCAATAACTTCCTAATAACATGCAAAAAGAATCGCTAAGATTCATTTAATTCCACTCCCAAAGATAGGTCTCATTTTAGGCCTTCTAATTGTATTTCCCCTCTTAATATCTAATAAACAGTTTTCCTTTGAGATTATTTAGCTTGCTTAGTTCAGGAACAACGTTCTTTTTGTTAATATGTACATACATTAATGTTCTTAGCCCAAGTAGCTTACCTGTAAAGACCAATCCCCGGTTTGCTTGTTGAATATTGAACTAAATCTCTGGTCCGAAGTGTATGTGCTTTCAGATACAGTTAATAGATGCAAGTCCCTATGGCGTATCCATGATACCTTTTTAAAATAAGAATATAAATCGTTACAAATGTACTGTTTTTTTTTTTTTTTTTTTAAATGTATAAAATTATGGTTCAATACTCAGTGATTGGTGCAGGTCTAATGTACCATATTAATTCAAACTTTATTTTAAAACTATTTAAAACTCAGCGAACATTGTTTTACTGTTTTATTAGACCCTTGCAGAGGGTTTGCAACGCAGTGAAGGAATCACCTCAGTCCCTATACAGTATATATATTCTTGATCAGCATCACGATCTGAATTGACATACGTTTGTACGTCTGTCTGTTTCTATGTAGACTAGTCTCTTAGTTTTAAAGCTATCTTACAGAAACTTTCCCAAAAGTTGTGTAGTTATTGCACGCAGTATATAAGTCGGAACGAGCCGGATCGGCCGACTATATCGGATAGCTCCCATACGAGAGATTGAAAAAAAAAAATCTCACTCCGTTGTTTTTGATCAGATCGACTTGATTTCTTCCAGATGGCGTTATAATATATATAACTCTATCATATAGCTGCCATAGGAGAGATCAAAAAATATATGTATATAGAATTAATGGAAAATATTTGATAACGCCATTGTTTTTCATCACACGACTATGACTTTTGAGTATCAAAAAACTTTATTTACAACCCGTATTGTGATGAAGGGACAAAAAAGTGGTTTAGACCTTATTCTATTCATAAACTCTTCATGTTTGTGACATTCTCTTCGGAGAATTGCTAAGTTAGGAGTGTCAATGTGCAACAGTTCGTGCTGCAAATTAGCCTTAAGTTGTGTCCAACTTCAAGGGTTATATCACACTCGGAGATATGGTCTCTCAAACCATTAGAAATGGCTAGCATTGCATCTACAAAATCATCAACAGATTCATTGCTACCTTGTTTACGGCGACGCATGGCGTTTTTAATGCCTCGGTAGGTACGCTGATCTTGATATCTTTCTCTAAAACGATTGCAGTGTAAACCAACTCATGTTTTTGGAGTCTCTGTTGGGGCAGTTACCTGTTTAAGGGTTACACCAAGTAGGGTTATGGGGCTCGAAAGACCGACTTATGGTCAATAAGCCACCGCAATATATGTCACTCCACTCGTCTAGTAATTTAACACACTCTTTAGCGATTAAAATGAATTTATTTAAACAAAATTAAAGATAAAACTTTTGGCGTCTGTTCTTGTCGATCTTCTTCATGTGACTTCTCGAATTGGTATATGTACATATAATCATATAGTCAGTAAGAGTGGCAACCTTATATCGATAGTTTTAAAAATAAAAATTAAGGGGGGTGACACTTTTGATATCTTATTCTAAAAACTTCGTTATATTTAAATTAATACTAGCGTCAACATCCTCCTCCCAAGTATTGGTGTCGTGGATCATATAAACGACGGCAATACTTAGAGTTTACAAATCTTTCGGTTTTACATCTAGTCTAATTAGTTTTACAGTAGGTCTCTTATAAATATTATCTTTAATTCTTACATCAACTATACGTACTCGACCATCCTTTGATGGATAGGTTTTGACAATCTTTCCTTTTGGCCAAACATTTCTGGGTAAGTCAGGTTCCATAACACAGCCACACAAAAAAAAATATTTTTCGGGCCTGGAGGTCAGACCATGTTTACTATATGTTTTCGGGGTCGCTGAATCCGAATCCGAGGTCCAAAAAACCCCAGCACGTCAGGGTTCTGACATAACCTCAAAAAACCTCATACAAAATTATATTCGAGTCCGTGGGTCAGACCATGTTTATTATATGTTTTCAGGGTCGCTGAATCCGAATCTGAGGTCTAAAAAACTCCAGAATGTCAAGGTTACGACATAACCTCAAAAACTTGATAAAATTTTTATTTTCAGAGTTCTGGGCTCAGACCATGTTTACCATATGTTTTTGGGGTCGCTGAATCCGAATCCGTTGTCTAAAAAACTCCAGGTTTTTTTGATGTTATGTCGTAACCCTGACATTCTGGAATTTTTTAGACCTCAGATTCGGATTCAGCGACCCTGAAAACATATAATAAACATGGTCTGACCCACGGACTCGAATATATTTTTGTATGAGGTTTTTTGAGGTTATGTCAGAACCCTGACGTGCTGGGGTTTTTTGGACCTCGGATTCGGATTCAGCGACCCCGAAAACATATAGTAAACATGGTCTGACCTCCAGGCCCGAAAAATATTTTTTTTGTGTGGCTGTGTAATTAATACTATGTCATTTTCTTTTAAGGCACTGTTGTCTTTTGTCCACTTACGACTACAAATAAGGAATTGTCTATATTCTTTTTTCCATTTTAACCAAAATATATCAGCAAGTCTTTGGGATGCCTTCCACATATTTAATAATCTTAAATCACTGTCAATGGTATCTGTATAAAAAGATTCTCGATAGTTGGGTCCAATTAACAAATCGTTTGGCGTTAATGGTTCAGATAGAGAGTCAGAAGGAATAAACAAAAGTGGTCTACTATTCATCATAAATTCGATTTCACAAAATAAGGTTTTTAAAGTATACTCCCTAGGATATCTTTCTTTTAGTAAAACTAACAAATATTTTTTAACTGACTGTATGAGTCTTTCCCAGGCTCCTCCCATGTGAGGCGATAAGGGTGGATTAAAATACCAGTTACAACCTTTTGTTGTTAAAAACTGAGTAAGTTTGTCATTTGACCATTCTTCCATAATTTCTCTAATATCTTTGTCTGCTCGCCTAAAGTTGGTTCCATTGTCCGAGTATAATTCTGTCGGAAATCCTCTTCTACAACCAAATTGCCTGAAGACATGCATGAATGCATTACAAGAAAGATCTTCTGCAATCTCAAGATGGACTGCTCGTGTTGTCATGCATGTGAAAATTACACCGTACCGTTTAATATGGCTTCTGTTCTGAGTTATTTCAATTGGCCCAAAATAGTCAATTCCTACTTTTAAAAATGCTCTCTCCGTGGGCACTATACGACAAGTTGGCAGTTGACCCATCAAAGGAGCTTGTGGCTTCGCTTTTCTGTTTTTACAGTGCTGGCAATTTCGAATGACATTTTTAACCGTATTTCTACATTTTGTAATCCAAAATCTTTGACGGATATTGGCAATTACAGTTTCTGTACCTATATGGCAATTTTGTACGTGATAGTAATGAATAAGTAATTTTGTAATAGGATGATCTTTACAAAGAATAATAGGGTTTTTTGAATCAACACTCATCTCTTGGTCGCGTAAGTTATTTAGCCTTCCTCTTAGTCTTAACAAATCATCACTACACAAAAACAATGGTAAACAATTCAAACCGCTAGAAGGTGATACTGGTTTATTCCGTTTTATATTTTCAATTTCCTGATGGTGTGCATCTTGTTGAATGGTTCGAAAAATTATTATTTCTGCTTTGGAAATTTCTGCGGCTGTCAACTCATTACAAAATATGATTTTATTACTTGGTCTAAGTTTGGTTAAATATCTCAAAATCCATGCTGTCGTTCTTAAAAATCGCATCCAATTGGAGAACCTCATTACGTCAGGTAAAATAAATAAGTGTTTTTGTACAGTAGTCAGATTTACGTATTCTTTGTCCTTGTCATCAGAGTCATCTAAACTGAGAGTCTTTTTGGGTAATGGCCACTGGTCCTGAGTCTTTCTTAGAAATGGCGGTCCTACCAACCATAATTCATTTGCTGAAGAGTCAAAGGATGAAATCTTTGTGGCTTTATCAGCAGGGTTTACTTTTGAGGGTACGTGTCGCCACTCACTGGAATTTGTCAATTCTTGGATTTCTCCCAATCGCTGAGCCACAAAGGTTTTAAATCTTTTGCTGCTAGTTTTTAGCCAGTATAAAACAATTTCTGAATCTGTACACATAAAGGTTGCGTCTATTTTCACATTCAGTGTTTCTTTTATAGATTTACTTAGTCTAGCGCCTAGCAGGGATCCTTGCAATTCAAGTCTTGGAATAGACATTGGTTTAAGTGGTGCTACACGGGACTTGGCTGATATTAAAGTGCACTCGACTTGGTCTTTGTATTCGAAGCGTAGATATGCACACGTGGCATATGCATATTTTGAAGCGTCACAAAATATATGAAGTTGGACATTACAAAGGTTTATGGGCAATGTAGTCATCTGTCTGGGAATGTTAATATCATTTATTTTGTTTAGATTATTACTTAAAATTTTCCAAATATTAACCTGCTCATCTGTAATAAAGTCATCCCAATGAATTCCGCTATCCCAAATTGCTTGTAACAGAATTTTGTTAGATATTAATATGTTGGAAAGATAGCCTAAAGGATCGAAAATGGTCATAGTTATTTTTAAAACGTCTCGCTTAGTTGGTCGCCTAACATTATTAAGAAGTTCAAACTGAGACTTAGAAAATTTCAAATTATATGTAAATACGTCTTTTTTATGATCCCAAATCAGTCCTAAAACTCTCTCTTCTGTTAAGTTCTTTTTATTGATTTGATTTGATGGAATGTTGTCTGTGATCTGATTTAAAACTTCTGGAGAATTCGAAATCCAATTTCGCATGTCGAAACCACCTGCCTTGTGTACATAAATTACGTCCTTAATCAATTTTACAGCTGAACCAATATCGTTGGCTCCACCCAAATAGTCGTCCATATAATGCTTTGCTATTATATCATCACAAGCTTGGCCGTAGTCATTTTTAAATTCAAAGGCATTTCTGTTTCTGACCTGTTGGGCGATGCTTGGGCTACATTTAGCGCCAAAAAATAGTACCTGTATTTCGTACACGTCTGGTTCGGAATGTCGGTTACTTCCTCGCCATAAAATTCTCTGTGCACAACGATCTGTCTCCTGTACTTTAATTTGGAGAAACATCTCTTTAATGTCTCCGACAAAGGCAATTTTATGTTCACGAAAGTTCATCAGAACTGAAGACAATTGACTGTATAGGTCTGGACCTGGCAAAAGAAAATCATTAAGGCAATAACCATGGCTTTTTGAAGCTGCGTCAAAAACTATTCTTAGTTTGTC